TCCGTCAAATTGTCGAAGCCATGTAAATAGCTATCGTGAATTCAAGTGAGCCCATTGTGCAATTGAATAATTAATCACCAAACTCACCATCGTATCGTGAGTTCAAGTGAGTCCAGAAAAACCACACGTAAGACTCCCGATGACTCAAAGAACCCAACCGAGTCTTATACACAGTATTCTTATGTTTAACAACCTATGATTGAAAAATCTAGTTTATCTGCAATTGAAACGATATTTGAATCTGATTTCGTTTCCGAAAATTTATAGTCTAACGCGTTTATACACTTTTATTTACATTTATAGCATAGATTTGGTATTTAGTTTAATTGTTTATGATTATTCAATTCAAGTCAATGAGAGGTCCAACTCAGCCAAGTATTAACCAATCAAAATAATTTACATCAAAATCCACTAATAAAAAAAAAAAGAAAAAGAAAAAAAAAAGGTCCAAAACCACTAATCCCTCATCTTCTTAACCTAGCTTCAAGCCTCCACACATCCTCCTCCTCCTCCGGCGAGCAGCAGCTGCCGGAGCTCCTCCAGTACCGGCAATCCCGGATCCGGGTCAGGATCCGCTCAAACTCCGAATACCCACAAGGAAAAGTAATCCCTTTCTTATGTTCAAACCCATATTCATCCTCTGCCTCTCTCAACAACTCAATGAAAAGCCTATGCTTGAAATACACCACCGGCACCAAAACCCGGCTGAATTCTCCTCCGCTTTCACCGACATAGACCGCCAGCTGTCCTTTCGGCACCGGGTTACACTTCTCCTGGACCGGCTCAGCTCGTCGGAGGAAACTCAGACCGCGCCTCCAGCTGAGAAGCCTTGACGACAACTTCGGCTCGGGCGATGAGTCCTCCTGGCTTAGCCTGTAATATCGAGTCGCCGGTCGGATATTTCGACAGAGCCATCTTGAGAATAGAACGAATCGCTTTCGAAGCTTGAAGCCTCGGAGCTTTCTCATGAGAAAAATGGTGAGAGAGAGAAAGGAGATGAATTGGTGAGGAGCAAGCATAATTGGAGAAGACAATGGAGGCTAAATAAATACATAGTTATTATTATTATTATTATTATTATTATTTTGTATTGTATTGTTCATAGTATAAATATAATTTTATGTAATATTTAATAATTTTCGGAAATGCCGTAGTACTTATTGTATACGGAATCTATTTATTTATTTATTTATTTTGGGTTGGCGATGACGTGGAAAATAATTTTTTATCCATGCCATTCAACTCACATATGAGGATAAGTTAAAAAAAAAATTAGTATTTTACCAAGTGGATGAAGGTTTAGTTAGAATTAGGAAAAGAACGAATTTAAAAATAACTCGAATCGATACTCTTAATTTTTTTAATGATCAAAGAAGACCTATAATTTTAAGTTAAAATATACAATCTCGTTTCACAATGTTCCAAAATTTAAATATCTCGTCGAAACGAGCTACAATGATCAAATTGTCAAATAAAAAAAAGGGACGATAAAGCAATATTATATTCGATCGTTCAAGAACATTATGAACTGACTAGAATAGATTAATTTAAATGGTAAAAAGAATCAACAAAATCATAATTTGTTGAAGATTATTGGGAGTGAGTCCTACATTGGTTAATTTAGTGGAAGATCATTGGTACGAGGATTTTTGGGGAAGTTGAATGTAACAATGAGAAAAAGAAAAAAATGTCCTCATGCTTAACTATGATAGGAACTACCGAAATGTGCACCTTTTTTTGTATAAGTAGCGATATTTTCCATTCTCTTAAACTTTTCTTAGTCATCTTATACTTAAAATTACTCTAGATCTTCGGTTGGCTTGCGTTAACTTAGCCTAGTTGATTCCCTCTTGAGATCAGCTCCTCAGGTTGGTAACTTAGCCTAGGGGGCTCGGTTGAAGCCTTGGGAGCATTTGAGTTGTTTTCCTATAACTCCGACCTAGACCAAACAAGTAAGTGGTTTTACTGATGGCTTAATTGGATGACTTGATTGTTGTATGCACGTATGTTACGACAATTTCATTGCTTTGAACTCATGACAATATCATGCCAGTAGTAACATCTCTATTTAATTAAAAAAAAAATAGAACTGTTACACTTTAATCCTATTTAATCCAAGTAGGTAGGCCAAACTACGTATGTATTAATTTACAAGTCCAACGTGACATTATTATGCTAAAAATATTTCATTAATTGTTGGGAGATAAAAATTAAAAAATAAAATTATATAACTTTATATTGTCAAGTTTAATGATTATGACCCCTAAAAGTGAAGCCTAAATTCTTGAACTAAAAATGTATTTTGTTATTATATTTTTAAAATTGCTTAGATTTTTCTCTTGTTCTATGAGATTTACAAGTTCTATAAACTCGTCTTGAAATGTGGCGAGAAACCATATAGGTGGACGTAGTAGCTAACTGGCACATGGATTCACTCCCTCAGGCTAAGAGTGACTTTATGACCCTATAGAAGGATCTTTCATTTATCCTTCCACAGAAGATGTTCGGACTAATAGATATCATATTAGATGTCATTAAAGTAGCACCTGGATCCAAAACATGGATCATTCACTGTCTAGACAAAGCAAGTTACTTAAGTCAAAGTACAAAAAGGTTAGACAATCTGCACAGACTCCAGAGATAAGAATCAAATGAGAGAACTACTCAAAACTTCAACGTCTCCTAAGATGCTAGATAGCTTTAGAGATTAGGCCCGGACTTCCTAGAGCCCAAACAAAAGTTCCTGATGATCTACTAGGATAAAGATACAATAAAAACTTACAAATAGGTTGCTTACCGAGCATTCTTGTACTCACTCCATTTTTCATTTCTTTTTCAGTTAATTACTATTTTTTAAAATGTAATTAAGCTTTTGATGTCCATCCTTATCTCTTAATCTTGATTTAAGAAAGGGTACCAAATGCAAAATTTCAACATTGCCCACATGTACGTAATCTTGTTTGTCTTTTAGCGCTAGCCGTACAATTTGGCGCAAAGTCCAAGCAAGTTTGTTCACATGCTCTATTTTTCCTTCAAGAGGACAAATTTACATTAATACCATCACACAAATCTCGTTTAGTCATAATGATCGAGTATTATTACACCTCCGACTAGGATGGAATCTCAAAATGGGTTGGAGAACTCGAGCTCGGTGAATTCTTTGTGGGTAATACCCGTCACAATCTCGGATAAGAATTGAAAAAATTGGCGAAGACAGGAATGAAAAAGGCTCTTCCTTTCACGTCTTACCTCATGACATCTCTAGATGTGATTGATAGCAAAATGAACATCGATTTAGAAACTTTAGTGAGCTCGGTTTAGGCAAAAGCTTTCACGTTAGGTTAGATGAATAGTGAGAAGATGAAGAATCCGAATTGCTCATAATTATGATACACATCGTACTTCCATTATTTTCATTTTTTTAACTTTCTTATGTGAAACATGGCAATCATAACATACATGGGCTGACATGCTCGAAATATGTGCGTCATATATCACTCCTATCTTAACAAATAGCTATAAATGTGTCTGTCAAAATATAAGTGTTCATATGACCCAATGATTTGAACAATTTAGTATCCTACTCAAAGAGTAATTTATTTTTTTAGTTTGAAATGGGTTGAATTTTTAGAAAACCGAATAATTTTGGTTCGATTTATGGGTTTGACTTTTTTTATTGAATCAACGAACCAATAAAAAAGTATTACACAACCCAACTCTACTCTAAAAATATTTAATATTTGTAACTCATGTTCTAATTTCTTGTGACGTGAAAATGTTTGATATTTATATTTGATAAGATTTTAGTTATTAATGTGAAACATTCGTAGATATATATGATTTTTAAAAATAATTTTAAAAAAATAAATAACTCAATGACCAAATTCAACCTAACCTAAAAATAGAAGGTTGGGTTGAGTCATGAAACTTACTCTCGTCATATTAGGCATGAGCCTGAAATTTTGGGCTAGTCCAATGTTTTTCCTAACTCAACTTGTGTATACCATACACCAAAGTACTCGTATGAATATATGAGATTCGACACCCGTTGGAGAGGGGAACAAAACGTTCTTTATAAGAGTGTAGAAATCTCTCCCTCGCATACACATTTTAAAAACCTTGAGAGGAATCCCGAAAGAGATAGCTCAAAGAGGACAATATTTGCTAGCGGTAAGCTTGGATCGTTACAAATGGTATCAAAGCCAGACATTGGATTGTGTGTCAGCGATAACGTTGGGTCTCGAAGGGGGGTGAATCGTGAGATCTCATATTAATTGGAGAGAAGAACGAGTGTTAGCGAGGACGCTGGACTCACTCGGGGGTGGATTGTGAGATCCCATATCAGTTGGAGAGGAGGACGAAGCATTTTATAAGGGTGTGAAAATCTCTCTCTAGCATACGCCTTTTAAAAAATGAACAAGCATCAGCGAGGTCTCTAGAACTCTGGACCCCAAAGAAGGAGGATTGCGAGATTCCACCTCGATTGGAGAGAGGAGAGGACAATATCTGCTAGCATCGGGCCATTAGATAATATAAGTTTCCATAAATGAGAGAGAAAATTACAAAAGAAAAAAAAAATAGAAAGTTTGATAAAGATGGCGTCCAAGAAACTAAAAACAATAATGAAAATTAATTAAAAACATGAAACACTACAAGATTAAATATGTTACTAGCTTATGCACGTGTCATGGTCTCTAATTGATATGACATCGTCAACCGTACAGGAGCGCGTTGCCTTTACATGAAGAATGTTGAACACACAGCCTAAGAATTTCAAAAAATACTCAATAACGATCCCATCATTCCTAACACGATATTAGAGTCATATTTATCTCATATAATATTATAATATATCAATTAAAATTTTTATTTTTTTTTTATTTAGAAAGAAAAACCCTTATTAGTTTCAATTTTTTTAATTAAGATATTAATAGTTTTTCTCCCTTTATTATTATTATTATTATGGATTTAAAGTTTTACGTATAATGCGTCAAGTTGCCGACGGGACTGAAAAAATGGACCCCTCACTCGAAGATTAAAAGCCATTAGCGATCGAGACAAATTTTCACAGTCCCCTCCGCTCCACATTCTCCGACCACCAGATGGCCCTCCTTTCGCCGGAATGTTCACGCCCATTTCTGAAGGTTTTTGCGCTTCTACTGACCGTTACGACGGCGGCGGCGGCGGCGCATTCTAAATGCGAAATCGAAGCGATCTTCAACTTCGGAGACTCCAACTCCGACACCGGCGGGTTCTGGGCGGCTTTCCCGGCGCCGTACGGACCTTACGGCATGACCTTCTTCAAGAAGCCCACCGGCCGCGCCACCGACGGAAGACTCGTCCTCGATTTCTTGGGTAATTTTATTTTCTTCCACCTCTGATTTTTGGATCTTTATCTGTCCTTTGTTTGAGCACCGACGATTCCAAATTTTGTTTATTTATCTTTATTTATTTTTAGTGGTTATAGAAAATGACGTTTAATTTTTTTTTTTTTTTATAATTATTTTAGTGGAATTTAGATGTTTGATTAAAAATGTAGAAATTTAATTTTCTTTTATTTGGTCTAAAATAATATACTTAAACATTTTTAAAAATTCAAAAATAATTCAAAAAATACTCTTTAATTATCAATAATTTTTAAAAGTTTGAAACATTTAAAGTAAAAAATAAATCAAAACTATTATTACCCTAAATTTTTTTGTTTTTTTTATAGAAATCGTTAATATTTTTAAATTTTATTTTTATTAATTTAATCTATTTTTTCAATGAAATGGATTGATTTATAGGTTATTTCAAATAGCTCGAAAGATTAGTTCATATCTTAATGGATTAGATCTTCAATTTTTTTCAATGCATTTTTTTTAACGAACATGTATTTAATTCAACGACGTTCCATCTTTAGAATATAATATCTTATCTAGTTAGATCTTTTTGAAGGTTGAAATTCGAAATTCCCTATAGAAATTTGACATGTCTCTTTTGTTATCGAGCTTTTATGATGCAGTTAAATCTCTCAAGATGTTCGTTAATTATATCAAATATTAATTAAAAAAAAATTATAAGAGCATATGCAAATTCTAGAACTAAAAATACCAAATTATTGGTAAAGCTCGGTTTTTTCATCTCAATAATATGTAAGTCCGACTCAAAAATATATGTTTAAACCAGTTGTTCGTTGTGGGTGCAGCTGAGTCAGTCGGAGTGCCATTTATAAGCCCATATCTGAAGTCAATAGGTTCAGATTTCAGACATGGAGCCAACTTTGCAACATTAGCTTCAACGGTGCTGTTGCCAAACACTTCCTTGTTCGTCACTGGAATCAGCCCCTTTTCTTTGGCCATTCAGCTCAACCAAATGAAGGAATTCAAGTTCAGAGTTGATGAACACTATTCTTCTTCCCATTCAAAAGGTCATCAATCTCTTTTAATTTTTTTTGTTTCTGTAATACGAACGGATTTCGCACAACGTAGCATCACTCCCTCTCACGTTGTCTCATTGTCACATCGTGTCAATTATCATTGTTGGTTTAGTAAGTCTACCGCATTTTATTATATAATCGACATTCCCTATGGCGAACAAGTTAGAATGTAATAGCTCAAGTCCACTTTGGCCTGTTACAGTATTACGGTTAGCCTTATAAGTTTTCCATACTTAAGGAATGTTTTGTTCCCTACTTCAACTGTTGTGGGATCTCACAATCCTCCCCTCTAAAGGCCCAGCGTTCTCATTGGCACACCGCCTGTTGTCCAGCTTTGTTACCATTTGTAACCGCCCAAGCCCACCACTAGTAAATATTGTCCGCTTTGGCTTGTTATGTTTTGCAGTCAGCCTCACGGTTTTAAAACGCGTGTATTAGGGAGAGATTTCCACACCCTTATAAGGAATGTTTCGTTCCCCTCTCTAACCGATGTGAGATCTCACATAGAATGTACTTTAAAGTTCAAATACTACATGGATAAACCGAGACCACATTCGAATGAGACTATAGTTAAGAAATGCTTAAAAGAATTATTAGCTACTACTTCTATAAAGGAGATGCACTTTCCTTTTTGGTAGCTGAATCATAGAAATGTCAAAGTTAAGCATACTTAGTTTGGAGCAAATACTACGTTACGTATTCGTTACTGATACATAGTATGATGTTTGTGGTGGTCAGGATGGACACAACTTCCTCCACCCAAAATTTTTGGAAAAGCTTTGTACACATTCAACATTGGTCAAAATGATTTCACCTCCAACTTAAAGGCCATTGGAATAGAAGGGGTTAACCAATATCTTCCTCAAGTTGTCTCCCAAATTGTTTATACCATCATGGTTAGTATCTCCTTTCTTGTTTTTCTTTATACCATGCCATACCCTCTTTCCCATTATTTATAACTTATACTATCCTTAAAATTACGAGCATTCAAATTTCTGACGGATAGAAAAGATTACTGATGTCTTGTTCCGTTCGAGTTGGGTTATAAACTTACTTAGTTTAGTTGGGTGGGTTGGGTTGATTTACTTTTAAGTTTATTGGTCTGTAATTAGGAGTTATACAAGTTGGGAGGAAGGAGGTTTCTAGTGATGAACATGGCTCCGGTGGGGTGTTACCCTGCCCTTTTGGTGGAGCTTCCACACGAAAGCTCAGACCTTGACCAATATGGCTGCTTGATATCATACAACCAAGCTGTTAGAGACTACAATGCCATGCTTAAGAAACAGCTCAAACGGGCAAGAAAGGCTCTCCCTAAAGCTTCACTCCTTTACTTTGACACTCACTCTGTCATGCTGCAACTCTTCCGACATCCCAAGTCTCATGGTATGTATGCATTGCTATTCCCTTTCTCTTCCCTCTTTACTTTTTGCGTTTTGCACTGGTTTTAGGGCACGTCTCGTTTAGGATTATACATCGGTTGGGGAGGAGAACGAAATATTATTTATAAGCGTGTGGAAACCTCTCTCTAACAAGCACGTTTTAAAAACCTTGAGGGGAAGTCCGAAAGGGAATAAAGAGGACATAGGTTTTCCTTTTCGAGATTCCCTAGCATACATTGTCCTCTTTGAGCTTTCCCGTGTGGGATTCTCTTAAAATTTTTGAAACGCGTCTACTAAGGTGAGGTTTTCACACCCTTATAAAGAATGTTTCGTTCTTCTCCCCAACCGATGTGGGATCTCACAATTCACCTCCTTAGAGAATTAGTGTTCTCGCTAGCACTCGTTCCCTTTTCCTATTGATATGGGACCCCCAATCCACCCCTCTTCGGGGTCCAGTGTCCTTGCTGGTACGTTGGCTCATGTCCACCTTTTTCGGGGTTCAACCTTCTTGCTGGCACATCACCCAGTGTCTGGCTCCGATACTATTTGTAATAGTCCAAGTTCACCATTAGCAGATATTGTCCTCTTTGGGCTTTCTCTCTTGAGATTCTAATCAAGGTTTTAAAAACACGTATGCTAGTGAGAAATTTTCACACCCTTATAAAAAAATGTTTCGTTCTCCCCATCCGATGTGGCATCTCACAAGTGGGCTTGAGTCGTTACATCTCGACTCGGGCACAACAGGTAGAGTTGTCGAGCGTTTGAAAAATAGAAGAAAGTGACTTGGTACTTCCTTTAAAAGCATCTATTTTTAGAATTTCTCAAACGAGTTTTGATATCAGAAATTTAAAAATATTATTGTAATTGATCAAATTTAAAAGAACTTTAAGTCGTTCACGAACACTTTAAAGTGCACGTCGAACACGTACTTTTAGAGCTTGGCGTGTATAGTATCATGTTTAATACCAACGACTTTGCTTTGATTTGAATTGATATCTATCAGGTCTTAAATATGGTACCAAAGCGTGCTGTGGCCATGGTGGAGGGCCCTATAACTTTGACCCAAGACTTATCTGTGGAAATAAGAAGAAGATAAACGAGAAATACTTGACAGCAACAGCTTGCTCTGATCCATATAACTATGTAAGCTTTGATGGAGTTCATGCCACAGAAGCTGCAAACAAACATGTTACTTTGGCAATTCTCAATGGCTCTTATTCTGACCCTCCCTTTTCCCTTCAAAACCTCTGCAATTTCCGACCTCTCGATTGATCCGATTGTTCTTCAATAAAACCGTTCGATGTGAATAAAGATTTCTCTATTCCCATCGATCTCGAAATAAGATTTGACTATATGGAAAACGTTCATGATGTGTACGGCTGGTTTCAATTATATCCTTTTTCACATGTTTCGGCTTATTCTTAAGCTTTTGAGTTGCATCGAAGAAACTCATCGTTCGTTTATATGAGATATCTAATGTCGGGATTCATGGGATTACTAGTATTTTGTTGTACTCATTTTTATTATATAGGAGAAGTCGAAAATAGATATGTCCATGGAGCGGGATGGGGGCAAAGAAGTCTTTCCCGTCCCCGTCCCCGTCCCCTCCTATTTTAATTCTCATTTCTGCAAAATTCTCTATTTATTTTCGAGAGGAACAAGATACAGATTCCCTGTAGAAAATTCACGGGAATCGAATTCTTTTTTTTTCAAATAACGTTAACGTTTAAGAATCAAACATAATTGAAACTAGTCGTATACTTCATGGTTCGTTGGAACGTTCTTTCTCGCTCTTCCTCTTTCGGGTTTCTCTCATCATATATTAAAAATAGCAAAATGGCCTTCATGCATTGCCGGCAAAAGTAAGTAAGCTCCAAAACACTCACATCCATAGTTGGAAGCTAACATTTTCTTATGTTTGGCTGATTTCTTTATGCTACTGTCCTTAATTGACTTGACTTAACCTGCTGTGTTCTATCAAACTTTCCAAGTAAATCCACTCTGTTTTATATGATGAATTCAACTTCAACTTCCCAAACTGAAAAGAAATAGCAACCGTTCATCGTTTGAATCGAACACACCTCGATTTTCGATAACGATATGAAGAACATAAAGTCAAACAAATCGGTATAATTTAGTAGCTGAAATGATTGTAGCTATCAACACATCAAGAACAGATATACAAAGATAAAACTCTCCCAAAACGAATAGCTAAGTAACGGTTTATACCGATTCCCTAACCAAAAAGAAATAGCTAAGCAACTGTTCATCGTTCGAATCAAACACCCCTCGATAAATTCGAACAAATCGGTATAATTTAGTAGTTGAAACAGTAATATGAATGATGTTATTGAAATGATGTGAAGCTATGAACACATATAAAACTCTCCCAAAACAAATAGCTAAGCAACTGTTTATACCGAGTCCCTAACCAACAAGAAACAGCCAAGCAACTGTTCGTCGTTCGAATCGAACACACCTCGATTTTCAATACCTTCAGTTACATCGAAACGATATGAAGAACAAAAAATCGAACAAATCAGTATAACTTAAGAATGATCTTATTGAAACGATGTGAAGCTATGAACACATCAAGAACAGATGTACAAACATGAAAGAAATCAAGAAACATAGCTATTTTCAAGAGCGGGTTGTGTTCTTACCATTGAAGCAGAAGGCATTCTACTTTTTCCAATCCAAACAGTATCAAAACTCTCCCCAAATTCAGACTCTTTCTCCATATCCTTGAGGTTTTTCCTCCTCACAAACCTCAAAACTGCTACTAAAACTAAACCCATCAAAGCTAACACAGCCAACCCACCTCCAAACCCAGCCACCCACCATGCCCACAACATGCCCTTCTTCTTCTTCTTCTTCTCCTTTGGATTTGGAATGACAAGAGAAAAATAGCCATAATCAGTAGCAGAACACAAGCTTGGCCCTGTCATGTTCTTCAATTCAAAAGCCTCACCAGCTCCAAACCTCACACATTGTGGCTTAATCTCACCATTTTCTCCCAATTTTAGTTTAGGAAACATCACCAAAATGGGGTTTCTTCCTGTTATGCGTAGATGGAGCTTTTGACTGCTAAATGTGCTTGAATTTGAAGAAGAATCATAAACAGTGAACCCAATTACAGGAGCAACAAGAGTATAACCAGGCAGTTTATAGAAATTTGATGACCAATTTCCCAAATTCTCAAAGATTATAGCTATTCTCTTTACACGAGGGATTGAAGTGATTCTTGGAGGAAAAGAAACCCATCTCAAGTTTGCTCCTCTAACCCAAAAACTGCGACTCCTTAATCTAATATAAGAAACTTGAATCCCAGAAAAATTTGAAGGCAGAGAGATGTTATATAAAACCCCTGTTCTAGGCTTTGATTCAGAGTTATTGGCATATTTATGAACAAACCCACTAAAAGAATCGGCATCTTCATACGAAACAGAGCACGAAATCAACATCAATAAGCAAAAAAACACCACCCAGAAGTTAGAATCGTACCAGTTTTTCCTTAGCTCCATCACTGAGAAGAAGCAAAACCCATGAATCAAATAAGGTGTTTCTTGAGAAGCAAGCCAGAATTTCTGGTTTCTACAACAAAAACAATGATGGGGGTGCGATGATTGAGAAACCCAAATAAACGAAAAATCGCCTCAATTGAGATATGGCCGTCGTGAGCCGCCGTGGACGGTGGTGGGTATTGATTTAAAGAGGGCGGCGAAGGGGAGGAGAATGATCAGAAGAGTTAATGATATTAAGAATCAAAACTAAATGGGATTTGAAAGACCTCTTCGGCTTGTTGGTTGCATACTCTATAATTATGATTTATGAGAAGAATCCATGTTAGCCTGGCACCCATTGGAAAGAAGAATTACACCTTTTGAGTTGTTTTTATGCTACTCTCTCTCTCTCTCTCCCAAGAGACTTGGTGTTGATCGAGCCAAAACAGAGAGAACGCCCGTTTTAAACCATTTTTTTTAAAGATAAATTCAAGGGTTATTAAAGAATAGCTACAATAAGACATGACTTAGAGAATGGTTCGACTGTAATCCGCTATGTAAACCAAGTATTTTGTGTTTAAGTGTATACCGATTTTTTTTCAAACATTTGATCGTTTAACTGAAACAAGTTAGATATAAGGATTTGAAGAATTACGTGTTAGATTATTATTGAGCTATGTTCATTTTGTTCATTTTGATTCGTCATTGACTTAAAAAAAATATAATAAAACTTCTAATCTGAGAATGAGATAATATTTGATTTGAAAAAGGTTATCAATGATTAAGTTACAATTATTGGTGGGATTAGAGTCTTTGAATATAAAAAGAAAGAAGGTTATGTCTTTAATATTAAATTAAGCATATTTGGATAAGTAATTAATATTTTTATATAAATAAATCTTAATTATATATATATATATACAACATGTGTTTTTTTTTTTAGTAAAATAACGGTTAAAAATTATTTAAAAATTGATAGTTACTGTTTATACTAAAAATATTTCTATAGGTGGGGACAAAACATGTTAAAATGACACGTGTTGGTCTGTAGAGATAATTTTCACTCTTAAAAATACTAACGTGACCATGTCGTAGAAGAATGTCGGAGTCATTAGATACCGAATATTATATAAGTATATGCGGATAATTAAATATTTGCCATATATAATTATAATCGATTATTGTTTAATTGTTAGGTTTTCCCTTTACATCATAAAATTGTTTTATTGAATCAATAAACGACATCAACTAACCCTAAAAACCAATTTATATTCTAATGGCAACTCATTAAATTATTGACATAAATTATCTTTATCTACCTAATAATCTCATTATATATATTATAAAGAAAATAAATAAATTACCTCATAATATTTTATGGTTGAATTTTCCCTTCCTGGGAAAGGGCTATAAATTAGTATAATTTAAATAAAATACTATAAAAAATAATAATTATTAATCTCAAAAAGTTAATTAGTTAATATATTCATATTAATTAACAATTTTATTTCATAAGTTTTATTACGATTTACTTTTTAAAAAAATAATCATTTTGATCCTAATTGTTATTCTTTTATTTGTATATGACTATCGTAGAGCTATTGATTAATCGAAATTCTTTTTTTAATGGGTCGTTTTTAATAAACAAACTCGAAAGTGTACTTTGCATCAACTACTACTATTATTGTTTCCTAATCCATTAATCTCTTCCTTTGTGTAAGAGCTTAAGTACACTGCTAATAGATATTGTACGTTTGACCTATGCACAATTTTAAAATGCATCTAACTAATGTGGGATATGACGATATTAGAGTCCAAACTCACTGCTAACAGATATTGTTTGTTTTAGCCCGTTACGTATCGTCGTCAACGTTAAGATTTTAAAACGTGTCTGTTAGGGAGAGGTTTCCACACTCTTATAAGGAACATTTTGTTCTCCTCTCCAACCGATGTGAGATCTTACAAAACGTTTATTGCAAGTGATTTGAACTTGTCCTTCCTCCTTCCATCCTCTTTAAGACATAGCCAAGCGATTTAATCACAATTCAGATTTCTTGTTGTCATTAATTCTATACAAGAATAACTCTCATCTATTCAAATTGACCGATGAGGTTTGAAGCCACATCGTTGACGTATAGGCATTGGATTAGGTAGATAGTATGACTCAAATAAAACCAAATAAATACCGTCGTTGGGCCGAGCATGCCTAATCAACATTTGATCATCATGTCGAATCATTAAAAAAAAAACTATAATTTTGTATTTAAGAATCGTTTAAGGCCCACGAAATAAAATAATACAACAATTAAGTATGTGTCTTAGTGTTAACAAAGATAGGAGTAGGTACATCAATAATGTTAGAAAAATTTTCATCTCACGTCATATTTAAAAACTGATATAATGTCAATAACTTCTTAATATTGAGGCCACCTCTCAAATCTTGACAATATTATGTTTTCCTCTGAGCTTTTCTAAAGAACATATGAGTGAAGACAAAATATACGGTTGTTTAGTAGAGAGAGAGTTATAAGTAGTTTAAGTCAAGTAGATAGTATAATCATGATGTAGAAAGATGTCACCGTCAAATCCTAAATCAAATCTGACGTTATATTTAATGCAATTAAAACTTTTGAATGTTTGAACTAAATCCATATTTTTCATTAATAAATGGAAAGATATCTATGGTAAGGCAAATATTTATATTTTCCATATAATAAAATATCAAATATAATATATATGGCAAACAATAATTTATTACTAAATATCTTTAACACCCCACCACAAGCTAAGCGTCAGATTTAAACGAACGGAAAGCTTGAATTTGAAAAATTCAAAGAGAGGTTGAGAACTTTTCGTGAAGATGTCAACAACCTAGTTCAGAGGAGGTGTAGAGAAACACTTTTTTGGGCATCGAAAACTGTAGAGGGATCGTCGATCAGGTGATGCTACCTTGGCTTCAGCGAGAATATGTCTAACCCATGAAGAGGGATCGTAGCTTACCGACGATGCTGCCTTGGCTCTGGTTAGAATATGTCAACCCAAGAAGTAGAAGGGGAAGCCTATAACAAGGGACAAAGGCAATGTTGAAGCCAGAAGAGTCGCCACAGTGGACGAAGGAGCCAATTTTGACTAGAAGGGAGGTGGCGACTTGGTTGGCGAAGAGGCCAGTGCGGCGCTCGGATTCCAAAGGAACATCTTTGCAGAAGGTTGATAGGTTTATGTTAGGGTTTATGTGAAGGATGAAGGGAAGATTGGGAAGAAAATGAAAGAGACTATGTTAGTGGAGGGAAAATCGATTGTGTTGGAAAAGGTGAGGTTGTATGTAATAAGTATGGCAAAGGGTGATTTGGAGATCAAAAGGGTGGAGCCAAAGAGTAACCAATCGGCTTTGCATGTGGCAGTCATGGAGACTGCCCCTGCGGTGTCAAAGTCAGCAGGGGTGGTGGAGAAGAAGATGAGTAGAGAATTCAGAAGTCATGAGAATGTCTCATTAATCCACCACACCTGGAAAAGAAGATGAGTAGGGAATTTAGAAGTCATGAGAATGTTTGATTAATCCTTCTGAAGCCATGAGAATGTTTCATGGTGTGAAAGTTATGTTTGATTAATCCACTTCACCTAAATAGTGTGAAAGTTATCTTATTTATAATCAAATAAATTACAAGATGGAATAAGTAATAAACAAAAATAACAATAAATGGAAAGATATATCGGTACATATCTAGATATTTGTCTTATAACAAAATATCAAATATGATATATATATATATATATATAGTAAACTATAATTTATTACTAAATATCTTTAATACTCTCAACTTTATATTTTATTTCAAAAATAACGGTCATCTTTCAAAAAAAACACTCAACTTTATATTTTATTTCAAAAATAACCGTCAACTTTCAACAATTTTATTAATATTCTTAAACTTGAGAAAAAAAAATTAATACCCTTATAAGAAATCATTAGTGTTGTCATTTACATCCATGAATATAAAAAAAAACTACATCAATATTCTTAAACTTAAAAACTATATTAATACTCTTCCTAAACGCAATACATAACAAGTTAAAGCAAACAATATTTGCTAGAGGTAGGTTTGGGTAGTTACAAATGGTAGTAGAGTCAGACATCGAACGGTGTGCCAGCGAGGAGTAGATTGTGAGATCCTCATATCGACCCATTGTGAGATCTCACATCACCTATAGAGGAAAATGAAGCATTCTTTACAAGAGTATAGAAACAAAATAATAGCAATACATACCACGCTTTTAGCGTGTACAATATTTACTTTAATAATAATAATAAATAAATAAATAAGGAGGTCAAACTAAATAAAAATAAAGTGGCATTGGTCAAAATAGTTGGATAATTACACAACTATCGATACCATATGCCACTCTGTTTTATCCCTCTTTTTAACATATAAAAGTGGGGTGAAGCAAAGAAGGGTCTCATACATACATACATACATACATATATATAGAGAGAGAGAGAACTTTTCTCATTGCTTCACCTTCAAACGTAATAGAATTGAACATAAAACTGAAACCTAAATTTCTATTCTCCTAACCATAAATGAAACAGCTATAAGAACTACACAGACAGTGTCAGCATCAAAAGGAAGTCTTTCAAACTTCACCTATATGATGTAGAGAAGGTCATGACTTGATGGTAAGCTCTGCTCTGAGGTGAAGGACGCCATTTATGAAGTAAATGCTATCTTCAGCCGTGAAGGAAGTCCATGGTATACCAAACAAGTTCCGGTACCCGACAGCTTTTCCGCCTGTGAACGTGTAGTTACCCTTATATTTACTGAGGAACTCTTCGCTCGGCTTCGATCTTGCTGAAAACTCGTAATCCACCGCAAAAGTCACAGACCCTTTCTCCTGCATCCCCAAGAACAATCCAAAACAATGGAAGGAGCTCTGTTGGTCCATGTTGCAATGAGCAGACAAGAAGAATCCTTGCCCTCCCAAATGGAATGCTTGTGAATAAATTCGTCCAGATGGGAACAAGCTTATACATTCTTCTCTTTTCAAGTCCAGAAATATTACACACTGCTGTCGAGGAAGTTCTAATTCGATGATCTTAACTGGCCGATACTTGTAGGTCCTCTCAATGAAGGGATGGCTCGGGGAAGTAGAGTCGTTGGTAATCAAGGCTCGTTGTCTGTGGGGGAAGTCAGCTTTGAAAAAGAGTGCTTCAAGCACGAGTTTGGAAGCAGCCTCGTGATCAAAGTCGATACATGTCAATACCTTCTTAAGCTTCCGGCAGGACATGTAAGGAAAGCGAATGAATCGAGCAAGACGAACACCGAGGACTTCTTGCCGCTCTGCTAACGAAGGATAATTGAACCTCGCCCACTTCAAAACAAAGTCAAATACTGCA